ATTATTATTACTTTTTGCAGACAGGATCTTGCTCTATCTCTCAGGCTAGAGTGCAGTAACACAATCGATCACAGCTCACTGCAGCCTTGAACTCCTGGCCTCAAGCAATCCTCCTGCCTTGGCCTTCCAAAGTGCTAGGATTAAAGGCACAAGCCATCACATCCAGCCAAAAATTTTCGTTTTTCAGAAGATTCTCTTGGGTTTTACCAGGTTGTAATCATATCAACAAGTATGCCCACATTTTCTGTATTTGTACCTGATTTCTTTTTCTTAGTTTTATTGGCAAATACTTAAAGAACAATTTTTTTTCTTTAAGAGAATCTCACCCGGCTAGCTTGCAGTGGTATCATCACAGCTTACTGCAGCCTCCGTCTCCTGCCCTCAAGAGATCCTCCCACCTCATCCTCTCAAGTAGCTGGGACTACAGGTGCACTGCAGCTGATTTTTCTTATTTTTTGTAGAGAGGAAGTCTAGCTGTATTGCCCAAGCTTGTCTCAAATTTCTGGCCTTAAGAAATCCTCCCATCTTGGCCTTCCACAGTACTGGGATTATAGGCATGAGTCACTGCATTTGGCCTTACTACGCTTTTTAAAATTAGAACTAGATATTACACTTATTAAAAACCTATCAAGTCTTTCTCACTTGGACTCTTCATACGAAGAACTATCTTAATGTATTTCCTTTGCATTTCCAGAGTCAGCACTACTTATAGTATACTATTATTGGATAGTATTGCTGAATTCTATTTTCTGATATTTTTGTTTCACATAGTGAGCGTTGATGTTAATAAAATAAGAAAGCATTCATATTTGTGAGATTGCCTTATGTTTTTCTTTTCTAAACTCTTCTTAATTTTAATATCAGTAATATGATGCCTTCTAAAATGCAATTTGAAAATATTCTTTTTTTAACTACCTGCCACAGTTAATAGCAGAATACGATGTTCCCTAAAGTTTTGAGAGAATGTATCCATCCAACTCTCTAGGTCTGACATTAAACACTCTGGTTCACTTTAATCTTAGCACTCTGGTGGGAGGATCACTTGAGGCTAGGAATTTGAGACCAAACTGAGCAAGAACAAGACTCCATCTTTACCAAAAACAGAAAAAATTAGCCATTGTTATGGCAGTGCCTGTAGAGCCAGCTACCCAGGAGGCTGAGGTAGGAGCCTTGCTTGAGCCCAGAAGTCTGAGGTTGCTGTGAGCTATGATCACACTGTTGTACTCTACCTGGAGTAACAGAGTGAGACTCTGTCTCAAAATAAATCAAAATAAAAAGAATAAAAAAAAGAGAAAAGAAAGGTGAAAGGGGGAGAGACGCAAACTCTTTATAAACTTATTTATAAGCTCCTTGATTTTATTCTCAATTCCTTCCATGTTAAAGGTCAAATTATACTTGCTATTTCTTCTGAAGTTAATTTTGATGATTTTTGTTTGTATTGAAAATAATTCATTTCATTCCAATTTTCAAAAGCATTTGCATGGAATTGCATAGTGTAGTCTAGTGCTTCAAAGTTGTGATTGTCCCCTTCTCATGTCACTAATTTTGCATATCTGTGCACTCATATTTTGCAGTTTATCTATTGGTTTACAAATACATGTTGCATTTGTCAATTTTAGACTTCTAATATATACTCTTGGGCTTATTAATATTTAACTTTGATTTTATAAAATTAAGTTTATTATTTTTTAGGCTTTTTGAGCTAAGTTTGTAACTTTTCTTTTTTTTTTTTTTTGTGGCGACAGAGTCTCACTTTATCGCCCTCAGTAGAGCACCGTGGCATTACACAGCTCACAGCAACCTCCAACTCCTGGGCTTAAGCGATTCTCTTGCCTCAGCTTCAGTTTGTAACTTTTTAATTTTCGTTTATTCATATCTATTTATGTAAATGTTTAAAATAATAACTTCCCTAGGAATATAATGTTTTTGGCAATTTTTCATGGAGATATAATGAACATAATGTAAAACTTGCCCTTTTAAAGTGTACAAGTCAGTGACTTCTAGCATAGTCACCCTGTTGTACAATCATATGACTAATTCCAGCAGGTTTTCATATCCCCAAAGGAATCTCACACCTGTGAGTAGTCACCCCCAATTCCTTCTTTCCTCAGTCTCCTGGCAGCAATCAGTCTATGTTCTGTCTCCAAAGATTAGTCTGTTGTGGATATCTTAAATATTAAAAAAAAATCCAAGAGTACATGTGAAATTTACTAGGTATAGAATATAAATTTCCTAACACAATAACTAAGAAAATGCAGTGAAGACTGTTAACCAGTTTGATGAAAACAATTCAAATTGTATATAAACCCAGCATATTGTACCCCATGATTGCATTAATGTACACAGCTATGATTTAATAAAAGAAAATCATACAACATGTGGCCTGGTTCCTTTCATTTATCATGTTTCTAAGGTTCGTTCAAGTTGTAGCACATATTGACACTTGATTGATTTTTGTGGGAGAATAATATTCCATTGTATGTATGGATCACAATTTGTTGATCTCTTCTGTTTATGGACATTATGGTGTTTCTGCCTTGGGCTGTTGTGAACAGTGTCACTGTGAATGTGCACACACATGTTTATTTATTTAAGCATCATTTTCAGTTCTTTGGGGTAGACACCTAGGAGTAGACTTGCTGGGTCACATGATAATTCTGTTTATCTTTTGGAGGAACTGCCAGGCTGTTTCCCCCCAGTAGCTGCACCATTTTACATTCCCATCAACAGTGCACAAAGGCTCCAACTTCTCCACATCCTTGCAAACACTTGTTACTTCCTGTTTTGTGTGTGTGTGTTGATTAAAGCCATCCTAATGGATGTGTTCATTTGTTGACGTCAAAGCCATCCTAGTGGGTGTGAAGTGGTATCTCACTATGGTTTTCATTTGCATATCCCTAATGACCATCTCTTCATGTCATTATCGGCCATTTGTATATCTTTGAAGAAATGTCTACTCAAGTCCTTCATTTTAATTTTTTTTGTCTTTCTTGACAAAAAAGACAAGTTTGAGTTATAAGTGTTGAGTTATAAGTGTTCTTTATATATTCTGGGCATTAGACTTTTATCACATAAGTGACTTGCAAATATTTTCTCCCATTTTTTAGGTTGTCTTTATTTATTTGGGGGGGGACAGAGTCTTACTTTGTCACCTTGGTACAGTGCCACAGCATCATAGTTCACAGCAACCTCAAACTCCTGGGCTCAAGTGATCCTCTTGCTCAGTTTTTTCTATTTAATAGAGATGGGGGTCTCTCACTTTTACTCAGGTTGGTCTCAACCTCATGCCCTCAAACAATCCTCCTGCAAGACTCCCAGAGTGCTAGGATTACAGGCATTAGCTACCTTGCCTGGACCATTTTCTTTTCTTGTTTTTTTTTTTTTTT